TTCTGAGTAATACAAAAGAATTAGAACGTTTTCCCAAACATAAATAACACTTGTGGTCGGAGATACGGGTTCATATATATATATATATATATATATATATATATATATATATGATTTGTCGACTGCATAGTATAGTAAGGTCAGTTGGGCACCGTCTGTGAGAAAAAGAGCACTATGACGCAATACGTTCCGCCAGAAATTTGGAAACGCCATGCTCTACTGCTTGGCATTCGCGCCGGAAGTTCCAATACAAACATTTCAGAGTGTTTGGGTTTGGGGGTTTTCCAGTCGCCAACCTCTTGATCCAGGATAGCACTATCTCCTCAAGACACTTGATGTAAGCCTCTATGTTGAGTATGCGGCCCTGTGGGAAATAAACGTTATAACGTCAACATCCTGAGTAATCTCTGCAAACACCATGATGTTGACTAGATATATCGTCCACCTTTTCCGAATCCTCGGCACTGTCTTCAGATTGACACTCAAACACTCTGAAATGTTTGTCTTGGAGCTTCCGGTGCGAATGCTAAGCAGTAGATCAATTTTTTCCGATTTTCTGGCAGTGTGAATTGCATCATGGCGCTCTTTTACTCACAGACGTTGTCCAACGGACCCTACTATACTGTGCAGTTGACAAAATCAAAAACAACGCGCATGCGCGAAATTAAAAATTATAAAATTGCGACATTTACCGATCGCACCATTTTTTTTTTTCTAAACATGCTTGTTCATGGATGAAATATGGCATATTATTTTTTTATATATATATATATATATATATATATATATATATATATATATATATATATATATAAAATTTGTGGGTAGTAATCCAAGTAGATCCGATTAATATAAAATATTAAAACTGATCCACAAAAAGAGAGCTCAATATAATTTTTATTATAGAGCATATCAGCGAATTTACCTCATGCATATGATCATTTCGTCCATGGAAAGTAGTATTTCGATGGACATATCAACGCAAATAAATTTACTAAAAGTAAATTGTAATTTACATACATTTGCTAAAAGTAAATTGTAATATATTTACTAAAAGTAAATAGTAATTCACACACACACACACACACACACACACACACACATATATATATATATATATATATATATATATATATGAGTGGCTGGGTGTTTGTATGTATGTGTGTGTTTTTGAATTATTTTCAGAAATGCAATAATCCAGTCAACCCTATTCAGCAACTTCAGTGGTTCTTGAGTTTTGTATTGGGTGAAAAATAGGTTTAGAATAAGACAAACGTCTTAGCCATCCAAACAGTCCGTGTTAAGAACTGTCCGAAACTTATAGATAACGGATAGATTTGCCTTCCCTTCGAAATACAAAACTTAAGCGTATCATGACTGAAAAATCAATTGTCCTTTCGCAACGATTTACAATTTATCGCTTAAGCTGAAACCATAAAAAACGCCGGTTATTTTTTCACAGATACATTTCGATTCTGTTGACTATTATATTGTTTCCTGCAGTAGAATATGGATCTGTTACTTCTTTACAATTGGTAGCAAACTTGAAGCATCAATATGAGCGTGAATATGTCATCTCACTTTCTCTCTCTTGAAACACAACTGGCAACATGAGCACCTGCCACGACTTGTTTATTGATCTGTAGTAGCACTAGTTCAAATATATGGAAATGATGACTATTATATATCGACTAAAACCATTTTACTATAACGAGCCTTACCTGTTTAGGCAGGCACAATTTTTTTTTTTAATATTAGCAGTCAACCTTGACATGCCAATAATACAGACTTTGAAAATTCATCTTTCTATGGTGGGTTATCATGCCGAAAGAAACTGATAGAAAATATTTTTAAAAAATCTAACACCTCTTAATCAAGTGGGACAGGTTCTAGTTTCATTAGCTTAACCCTTTGCGTCTTGACCAACGCTATACTGGTGGTAGAGAAAAATGGCGTAATACCCAGCCATCGCTTAAATAGTGGGTAAACATTTGTAAGTATTTTTTTATCTACCGTGAAATATTACAATTTACGAACTTTGACTCAGGAGCTGAGAAAAGAAGGGTTAAAATTGTTCAGGAACGCATGGCTCAAAGGGTTATTTCATCAGTAAAAAGACAAAATATTGAAGTAGTTTAACAATTTGTTTTTATCATTTCACCACAAACAAGGCAATAAAGACTCAAGTGGGGTCACTGAGAATGAAAGAAACTGAGAAAACGTTTTTGAGGAGAAAGGAAAAGAAAAGAAAAGATTCACAGAGAAAAAAAGATGAAGATTAACGCTGCATTTAAAAATTTAAAAAGAAGATAGCAATTAAAAGAAGATGCCGATTAAAAAGAACATGGCGATAAACGCTGCATTTAAAAATTTTAAAAAATGGCGATTAAAAAGATGGCGATTAAAGCTGTATTTAAATTTTTTTAAATTAAAGTTTACAATGAAGCAAGAAACTGAAAGAGACTTCCACAGGCGATAAGTGAGAGAGAAGATACTATTAGCATAGAACTTACGGTTAAATCTAGAAATTTCGACAGTAAAATAGTGACCTAGCTGTCAATCTTAAAGTCGCTTACAGTCGTGAAATCGATCTAGTAAAGAAGAAATCTCATTAGAATAATTGGCTGAAAATCTTTATAGAAAAAAAACATGGAAGCTACGTTACAGTGGTGAGAATGTGACTGGAGTGGGGATTCCATATTCTCCTTTCGATTTTGTCAAGAATCTCTAGATACGTAACAGAAGTGACGGACCAAATGTGACAGCAATATTCAATGCACGGACAAACGTAAGACTTCAGAAGGTTAATTCTGGCGAGAAAAATCGTCTAGCACTACGTTGTGAACCAACTTTCCTAGTAGCAGTATTGGGAATTTATTCGATATAATAGTCCCAGTTAATATCAGTGGAAAACGTACGACCGAGAAGACTCGATGACTTACTCTCTTTACTCTGGAGGTTAGCATTAGCGATGCTGATGGAAGGAAATTTAGAATTAAAAAATCTGCAAACTAACATTCTACAAATGATAAACTTTGATATTTACCATACTCGGCAAGACGACTGAATTGACTCGTCTTTTGGATATTTTACGAGATTAACTTACAATGTTCCTATAATAGACGCTGATGTCGAAGTGAACGGACATGTTTTTTTTTATTGCTCAAAGAAAGCGATATTGTATTTTTAAACAAAGGAAACTCTTTAATTATCCATTTTTTATTCTTATTTTTTCTTTCGTTATTATAATTTTGTTATATTATTATTTATTTATGTTATGATGTTAATTTGGGGTTAATAAAGACAAACGCCAAATAACATGTAACAATAAAATGGGGTTTATTCGGTTGGTAAGTTGGTACAGATATCGCCTGAGTAGTCTATAACTAACTCAGCTCAGAACTTCTACACTGTCTTTTGACCTGCCACTATTTACCGTCCTTCTTTGTAGACGAGTTCATCTCCAAGAGGGGTGGTAGGTTCCTACACAACAATTTACAATAATGAATTATTAAAATATACATATTTTAAAGTCGGTGTCTACATCGATTTGGTTTTTTTTTTGTTTTTTTGTTGCTTTATTTTTAAATAATTGTTTTTGAAAAAAACGCTATTAATTCCTATTTGCCACGTTGCCAGCCCATCATATTTGAATTTTTTGAAACTTCAATAAATTTTGGTTTACGTGTTCCTCCTTAGTTTCCTACTGGCTCAAATTTAGTACAGAAGATATGGCGATTGAAAATAGTATAATCTGCGTTAGTAGTAGTTTCGCCTATCAACTGAAATTGCTACAAAATCGAAAATATTAACCAAAAATCTCGGGTCATATTCTTAAATAGGCTCACGAGGATGCGCTGCATGGCAGCAATACCGTTCAGAAATAGCTAAACTGTGTCTGTATATAACTGCTTTATCATATCAAAGGTTAAAAATGGCTTAGAGAGGAGGGTGAATCCCATGAATCTTAGCGAGGAACAGCCTTCTTCGAAACTACAGAATCGCGATCAGCTGTGGCAAATGAAAGAAACCGCATCACTTGAGGACTTCCAACAGTAGCGACAGATAAAATAGATTGCACGTGCAATTCGTAAAGAAAATAATGACATAATTTAGATGTTGACGTTACACATGACTTCAAACAAAAGTTTAGCACGAAAGCAGCCATTACTACTGGAAAGAGCGATAACATTTACTGCTCTGGAGAATCCTATATTCCTAAAAAATTTTTAATTAAGAGATTTGATAACTTTAATCCGAAAGTAACACTGACTGTTCGGTCAATGAATACAAAATGTTTCATTATAAAAAAACAACTATATCACCATTATAGTATAAGTATCAATTAATTTTCTATTATAAGCATTATGGGATAAGCATTTATTTATTATATAATCTAAGTAATATAAGAGATTATTCTTTATATAACATAAGCAATACGCTATCAACATTAATACATTATTTTGTATAAGCAAGTAATATTATATTACTTGCATCATTTACATTATTCGGACTGTTATCTTCATTGTCATATTAGTAAATATACAAGTAATTATAATACCTCATCTCAGATATATAGACTTTATTATATTATTAGCAGTGTTTATAGTATCAGCATTATAGTATAATCATCTCTTAATTATAAAGTATCAGACTTATAGCTTAAATTAAAGTATAAGCATGAAGTAAGTATATATATTAATTCAAAAGAATGATTTTTGAGAAATTATCTAACGCTAGATTCCTATTTATTATGGATTTCTCGAGACATAGGTAAAATCTGACTTCACATTTTAAATTTATTGTGAGATGGTCTAACTATAAATCAGCTCACCTTATTTATTTTATCTATTTATTTATTTGCAGATGATTGTAAGACAAATTCAAAAATGCCATACATACTCAAATAACAATATTATTCAGGTTCACTGACATTTGAAGAATTTTGAATCAACCTTGACTCCAGCAGACCGATTTATTTTCAGCCAAACAAACTTGACCTAATGACAGATGGCTATTTCTTTAATGATTTGTAGTAGAATAGAAATAATTGCTGAAAGAGGAGATATCTTGAAATGACATCGTATATTCTGAATACACCAAATGACACGTTTGTCCATCCGGGCGCTATTCACCAATTCGCTGTCCAAAACGAACGAAGAAAGGTCGAAAAAAATGCACTTGTTTTTGGCTTCATTCAGTTCAATTAAAGGTATGTCTCGATAAACAGGTGAACCAAGTAACAGGATTCTCCTGGTAACACAGGAATGATTGTGCAGTGGTTCTTCGGGTATTAATTGTAAGCACAACGAATTAATATCAAATCTCGTTTTGTAATAATCTCGTGTGACAGGTAGATCATTATTTCGAAAGTTGGTGTCACGTGCCACCGGACACGCATGGGAATCAGAAGCAGCGGGCGTGGAAAATGGCAGTGTAGTTTCAGATGAGGAGCTAGATGAGAGGAAAGAAAGAAGAAAGAAAGATTTTATGGAAGGATAGATAGATAGATAGATAGATATAAATAAAACGGAAGTAGAGATGGGATAAAAAGAATGTAACAGAGAAAAAGAAATTAAGCTTTTTGAAGGAAAGAAACCAAAAATAGATAGATAGATAGATAGATAGATATTAGTTTTCATGTAAAAATGTTAAGTAAAAGAGAAAGAAAAACATTGTGAAAAAGAAAAAGATATTTTATACATATATAAAGAAAGAAAGAATAAGAAAGAAAGCTGTACTGATGAAAGAAAGAAGGGGAGATTTATCGATGAATAAGAAACAATAAAGAAAGAATGTTTTATTGAAGAGAGAAAGAAAGAAAGAAAGAAAGAATTAAAAGAAGGATAAAAAGAAAGAAAGATTTATCAATGAAAGAAAATAAGGAATTTTTATTGAAGACAGAAAGAAAGAATGAAAGAATGAAAGAAGGAGAGTTTTATCAGTCAAAGGAAAGAGGGACTGACTGAAAGTTTTAGTGAAGAAAAAAAAGAAAGTTTTATCGATAAAAGAAAGGGAGGAAGAAAGTTTTATCAAAGAAAGAAAGAAAGAAAGAAAGAAAGGAAAAAGAGAAAAAAGATAATCCATAAAAACTAACTGGGAAAGGAAAGAGAAAAAAGAAAACAAAACACAGATATAGAGAAAATAATAATGGAGAAGAAAAGAAAAGAAGAAAAGCTAAACAAATTCATAATAAAAAAAATGAAAAACATAAACAGAAAAACACAAAGAAAAAGAAGTATTGAAAAAGCAGATTTAAAATAAGATTGAGGTATGTGAAGAAAATTCAAAGATATCCTGGCTACCGTTGAATGGAATCTTGTAAATTCAATCAAATGCCTGAAAAGTACGACTGTGCGCTACGAAAATCGATCGTACAATGTCGGAGAATTTGAGTAAAATAAAGGAAGACAGATGCGTTCCCCTCTTCCGCCTCAGGTCAGGATACTTATTAAGTTACTCTAGAAGTATGGGCGTGGTTCTCCTGGTGTTAGGATTTCAGAACCTATGCTAATCAGCTTAGCAATATTGTAACTGGGATATTCAGACCCAGAAGAAACAGAAAACATGGATAAGTCTTTCACTAAGGCGGCCAGTACTTTGGGCAATTCTAAGACGCACTGTGTTAGTATCAATCAGTTTCGTTTTAATTGTTGTGCATTTATCGTTTGAAATTCTGAAATGAGATATTAAAATAAAGAAGACATGACTTAAGAATTCAAGTCATTTTGCGTTTTTTTTTTTGTTTGTGTGTTTTTGGGTTTTTTTTGTTGGTTTTTTTTTTTTTGTGTGTGTGTGTGTGTGTGTGTGTGTGTGTGTGTGTGTGTGTGTGTGTGCACGGCCGCGCGCGAACAACACGACAAGTGCTGGGTAATGGGGGTTTTTATCGTCACCATCTCTAGGTAGATATCCAACCAAGGATGAAGTGCTTCTTTTTGACCATTAGTACACCAAACGGTTTTGAATGTAAAGGTGTCCTTCTCTTAGACAGGTTGCCAACAGAGTCTAGAGAGGCTGCTATTTAAACATACGAAACTGGAATTAAAAATTTGCTGGCCGATATTCTCTCAAAGTCATTAACGGTTACACTACACTCACATCTAAATGAAATATTATTCTGTTAACCTTTAAAACATAAATAATCCTGGTTTGCATTTAATTATAATAACGGTTCATGTGATTTATCTTCTATAAATTGTTATTTTATGCAATTAGCTAAATTATCTAAACATAACATGTAATTATGCTCAGATATTTAAAAAAGATACTGGAAAAATCTCAATAGCCTCAACCAATCACAAAAATTGTCGAATGATGCGTTATTTATCCATTGCAAAAAAGACATGATCTCTCATATGACATTTAAAATGATAATAAAAGAAAAGGTGAGATTGACATTACGAATCATTCCTGAAATAATAACGAACTAATAATAAAAATATTAAGTGACATCAGGAGAACGCCTTAGAAAAGATATAGAAGGACACATGACTTGGTAAGAACGGTGATCCACTGGGACATCCGCATTCAGACCATTCGAATAAGCATGAAACAGATATAAAAGAATAAAAAAAAATGAAATAATACATTTGATATTAAAATAAATTATCTACTTCAAGGCAAACAAAAAATAGATTATCTAATTAAAGCATGAAAAAAGGAAAAAAATTACTTCTGGTTCGAAAATGCAAAATATACAGTTGAAGGCCGAAAAAAAAAGAATATATAATTTAGGATTGAAGAAAGAATATTATTTAATTAAGAGAAAAAGTAACTTCTATCTCGAAAGGCAGATTATCGAATTCAGCCTCGAAAAGGGGGATTATTCCTTTCGGGTTTGAAAAAAAAAAGATTATTTAGTTAGGGCACTAAAAAGAGAGATTACCTAATTTTGGACCAAAAAGAAGGATTAATCGTCCAAGAAATTGCATGACTACATTCAAATTTAACATACGAAATCTTGCCCATTGCTTTTTCATGTTTTTGTTATTTTTGTATGCTATCATTTTCATCCTGACAGTGACACCATTCCTTAATTCGTCCTGGATATGACGATAAACTACATCCGACAAAAGGTCTCTGATCAGGAAGTTTTGAGGAGCGTAGAACCACCTCTTAATTGCTGATGTTCCTAGGTCCACCCTGAGACCGCGGTGGAAGCACTTGTTAGATTCCCAGCTAAATATAATAGTTACCCCCCACCCCCCGCAAAAAAAAAAAAAAAAAACTGCGGTCATAACGTGAAAAAATAGGTTTTAATATCAAAAATACATTTTTGTAAAAAATTATTACCAGCAATAAATTTTTGAAGAAAAAATTATTACCAGCAATACATTATTTTCAGCAATAGCTTTTTGGAAAAAACAGTACCAGTAATACATTTTTGGAAAAAATATTACCAAAAATACTTTTTGATAAAAAAATATTACCAGCAATAAAAATCCTGTTGGCATTAAATAACCCACTTAATTTTATTCCCACTTGACTCAACTCTCCAAGTTTTTAGTTCACCACTGCTGTGGTCTGGTATTGAATTCACAATTCTTAGGGACTAGTCACTGGATCTAACCAATGTCTTTATCCACTGGGCCATGTGTCCTTGAGGAAAAACTTGGAGAGTTGAATTAAAGGGAAATAACTGAGATATCCGGAGGAGGCATGAGGCGTGGAACTACAACAATCTACCTCGGTGGATGAAATAAAAGGTTCGATTCGAAATTCCAATCATGTGAAGAAGGTTGCAGCATACAACGACCGAAACGCTGTGAATATGGCAATGAAGATGAGAATAACAGTCCGAGTAATGTAAATAATGCAAGTAAGAAATATAAATTATTGGGTTAAAAAAAGACAAACTTTCATGAAATTTATTGTAGATAATATTTTAATCTAAAAAATATAGTTTATTTGATCGATGGGTTTGCAGGTCATTTGAAGCCAAAAAATATTTTTAGATTGTAGTAATAACTGTTTAAGAATAAAATCTCTACTAATTATCTAATACCTGGCGGGAGAAGAGGTGTGTTCTTACCTTTCCCATGGGTATTTGTGCGTAAGCGAATATAACTAACCCAACAGAAGTATTCCAAGGTCGTCTCACATATCTAGGTACTGACCAGGCTTGACGTTGCTTAATTTCGGTGATCCAAGAAGAATCGGTTAAATCAAGAACAATATTATTTTTTTTTTAATCAATTCTCCTTGGGGTACGCCTCTACTTCAGTTCAGAAAACTGGGGAGGAATGTGAACGGGACGATAAGAAAACATATCTACTCCTGTTGAAAGTAAAAAATAGTAAATAAAATTTCAGAGTTTAAGTGGCGATTTTAGAATTACAGATTTAAAGTAGACTTTAGAAGAAACCGGAAATCCAATCCTACATAGAAAAAAGGGATAAATGTCTACGCCTGTTAAAAAAAGACGGAGAAGAGTATGAACCGGGCGATAGGCAAACCTATATTTACATACAGTTTCTCTTTATTTTTATACATGATAGCCTTTATTTTTCTTCAGAAAACGGAGTTTTTGAATAAGCTGTAAATTGTTTACACTGTACAGCATTAATGTTGTTCCATTCATCACTTGCTGCGAGGTGAGGGGGTCACATTTCACAGATTTTTGTGAAGGCGTGTCGTTGACGACAAGAGACCACGATCGAACTCACGACGTTGAAGATATCGGGCTAATCCTCTTAAATTTAACTAACATTGTGTAAGATTTATAACGCATGTGTGACTCAAGAAAAGGTCATAATTTTAGGGGTCTGCCATTGATTGGTTGGCTCTTGAAGTTGGATATCGAAGAATGATTTCTGAAGTTTTGTGAAGGCACTTAATTTTGGAGACGTTCAGCAGATCAAATTTCCCGTTTAAAAACAAATACTTTTCAAATGACAGACAACACACACTCTAAGTTTGAACTAGTATTTTTATAATGTTCACCTATTTTTTCATGCGCCATGTCCCTTCAGGGCGTAGACGATCATGGCTCTCCACTTCCTCCTATCCCTTGTAGCTCTCAATACATTTTATCTCTTTGCTACTTCCCCCCAAGCCATGTTCTGTCATACACTCCCTTAAGTCCGCCAGGTATGTCATGCGTTGCTTTCTCTTGCCTCTCTTTCCCTCGATTCGACCTGTGAGCATCAGATTCTCCAAACCCTCTTTTCTCATTAAAGAAGAGCAGTTCATGAGGTTATGTAGGGAAGATCATGGTTAACTCTAGACTTGAAGGGGTCAGGATTGTAGTGATCGGAATAGCGTCTGCCGAAAATTGGTTCCACAAAGCAGTTCTTGGGGAAAAAACTGTCGGGGTGGAACTTACTTATTACTAATGAAATACGAATGGCATTAGGATGATTAACTCGCGTGTACGTGGCATGGAAGATGGCAGTGGTAAGGGTCAGGGCTGGGGGGTCCGAGGAATGTAGCGCGTCAGAATATTTGCCATTAATATAGCTAGAGGCTTTCAATGTTATGTCTGTTTAATGGGATTGTAGTGTGGAAATAATTCATCACCCGCAAGGTCGCTTAGAGTCTTTTGAACTCAAGCATGACATGCAAAGGAAGACTGTACAGCTCCAACCCAGATATGGCAGTACTAATCCATTTTTCATCTTATCTGATTCTTGTAAAGACAGAGCATTGTAGGGGGAGCCAGATACTTACTGGAGCCGTATAATGAACATGGAGATTAGCATCAGCCATGTTGATGGAAGGCAGCTAGGAAATCTAGAGGAAAGATAACGAGTTTTTCTCCTTTAGACCACCCAAGATTAGAGAACCCAGTCTTCCCTGTTTAGAGGTCAGAAAGTAAGACACGGAAGACGCCTATATCCGTTACAATCCTCACCCAATTCGATAATGCAACACTCATTCCTCGTTGTGCCTCTTACTCTTTTAAATTATCCAAGGAGTTCTGCTTTTAACTAATATAAACATTAAGGGGGTGAAAATTTAATTTCTTGAAATTTCATAAAATTAAGGTCGGGGCGGCGAAGTAACAGATGTAAAAAAATATTTTTACCAAGATTTTCTTCAAAAAATTTCTAAAATATCTTCATTAATGTGTGAATAAGTCTTCAAAAGTTTCATTAAAATCCGACAATTATTTGATTTTTGTAAGAATTTCCAAATTAGTCTATATTTCTGAGATGAGGTATTATGTACACTATTTATGGGGACCAGTAATAAGGAGTGCCAGAGAAAAACGATAATAACAACAAAAAATTGCAATATGAGCTCTGGTAAAAACAAAAGTTATAACAGCAAAAATTGCAATATGAGCACTGGTAAAATATGTTAACTGAAGACATTAGGTTTATAATACATAGAAATTCATACACAGATGTCCTCAAGGACACATGGCACAGTGGATAAAAACGTTTGTTAGATCCAGGGACAGAACCCAAAGAGTGTGAGCTCCATACCCGGTTAAGGCAGCGGTGAATTTTCAGAGGGGAATTAACAGGAGATAACTGATCAACTATTCTTCCATTATACTGTGGAAATAGAACAATCTATCCCAGTGAACGAAATAAAGGGTTTAGTTCAATATTCCAATCACCAAAGAAGGCCGGAGCGTACAATGGCCGAAACGTTATAATAAATATGGCGACAATCGTCCGAATAATGTAAACAGTATTTCAAAATCAGTACGTATTTTTTACTGCAAAAAGACGCTAAAATTTCCTAGCCCCCTGACGCAAGAAAAACAAGATTTTTAGAACGTTAAAATATTTAGTTAAATAACGACAAATACTTTGGTGTTTCTTCTTAATAATAACATAAACATTTTGACGCTAAAACTGTGTTTTTTGTTATGTTTTTTTTATTGATGTTCTTTCTTTTTTTTTCTTTTTTTTCTTGCTGTATTGCTTATTTCTTTTCTTTTATCATTGCAACATTATTATTCTTTCTGTTTCCATTTCTACATTAATATTGAGGAGTTGAGCGGGCGGCTTGGATTGAGGAATCGGAGAGCCAAGTTCGAATTCCAGTCGAATCCATTACATTCACTTACGCGCTAATACCGTTCGGAAAGGTGTGAATCCTCTTTTTCTACCTCCAGCTATGGGTAAATAGCAGGACAGACTGGGTTCTATAGCTTTAGATGACAACTGGTCTAGGAGGAGGACAACTCCCCTAAGGCGGATGGATGGCACTCTGTGCTACCTTCCGGCAACTCCTGCAGCTGGTACCAAACTGTATTGGTTTATCCTCTCCTTTGGACTCTGCTAGCAAGACTAAGAGGGGGGAACTAGACGTCCGGGCAGCCCTAGTTCTCCATATATCCCACCCAGGCGCGTATCGCACCGCACTACTCCATTGTCTCTCGAGACGGACGGATGACGACGACATTGATATTAATTCTTTTGCTCTCTTTCTTCGCTTGTTGCTTAACTTTTTTCTTTCCTCATTGACATTCTTTTTGCTTCACTTCGTTGCTATTCTTCTTTCTTTCATTGCTTCCCTACCATTCTTTCATACCTTCTTCATTCATTTTTATAATTTTTTCTCCTTCTTGGCGTATTTCTTTCGTTCTTTCATTCTTTTTTCTTCATTGTTTTTCTTTCTTTTTTCATGCAAGTTTCTTTTTAGTCCCCCCCCCTTCATTTTTATAATATTATCGGACGCAGATTAATCATTTTTCTCTCTTTTGTCGGTTGTTTTATTTCTATTCATTATTGTCGCTTTCCTTTCACCTTCATAACTTACATTCATTTATTTCGTCCTTTCTTCCTAGCATTTCCATTCATCCTTCATCAATTCATTTTTTCATTCCCTTTTCCTTCTTCTTTCCGCCCCACACCTTTCTTTCTTTCTTTTAATATTTTTAATTCATCTTTCCTTCCTAGAAATATTTTCATTCTTCTTTCCATCCTACACATTCTTTCTTTCTTTGCTCTTTCACATACTACTTCTCTTTCTTTCTTTCTTTCTTTCTTTCTTTCTTTTATTTTTTACCAACCAACCACTCACTTGATATTTGGGTTCAGTAAATCTTATTGAAACTTCTCAGCCTCGCACTATCTCGTTGGCGTTATTTAAAATTAAATCTGGAAAGCCTGAGGATATCAGACGCAATGGATGATCTGTGGTGGAGTTGGGGAGGTGAGGGTCTTCATCAGATATACCTGGAGACGTTGCAATATGGCAGCACAAAGATTGAAGTATTAGGCAATAAATGAAAGGTTAAAAATAAAATAGTTAATAAGACAGACAGAATGTCTTGCATTTCTTCATATTATCTGTTATTTTCTAAGCTTAATGTCGTTTGGCATAAGGCTACAAGTATGGGGTTCTCAGTAATAATTTAACTCACTAATCAAAAGTTAATCAGGGTAGCTGAGTAACCACCGCCGCAAACGAAGCGCCCATTTCCTTTCTTTTTTATTAGTTATTTTGTTTCATTTCTTTTTATTAGACGTTTCTTCTGAGTTCTGTTCATATGAGATTTTAATAAGTTCGTTGTTATTAGCGAGATTTTGCTGACGTGATGAAAAAAAAAAAAAAAGCTGTTTGTGATTCTTTCTTGTGTTGTCTAAATCTTATGCAACGGAATGAAAAAAAAAGGGCTACAAGTCGTTTACTAGCTCGTTTTGTGAATATTGATATTGGAGTAAATTCTATTTACATTATTTGGACTATTGTCTTCATCTTTGTCGCCATATTTATTACAGTGTTTTGGACGTTGTACGCTCCGGCCTTCTTCAGGTGGTTGGAATGTCGAACTGAAGGCAGACTGTTCTAGTTCCACGTGCTATTTTTAATGGATGTCAATTATCAGTTATGTCCTGTTAATTCCCCTCTCCAAGTTCGGCACTGCCTCAACCGGGTACTGAACTCACAATCTTTGAGTCCTGTCACTGGATCTAACTAAAGCCTTTATCCACTGTGTCATGTGTCCTTGAGTGGATATGAATTTCTGGGTATTATAAACCTGATGGCTTCAGCAATCATTTTTTTTACCAGTGCTCATATTGCAATTTTTGCTGTTATCATATTATGTTTTTACCAAAGCTCATATTGCAATTTTTGTTGTTATTATCGCTTTTCTCTGGCACTCCTTATTACTGGTTCCCATATTTTATTTATTTTTATGTTTGGTCGGCTCAGGAGATTTTTGTGGCTTAACCTTAAACATGGCACGTGGAACTAGAACAGTCTAGCCAGTGAGCGAAATAAAGTGTTCAGTTCGACATTCCAACCGCCTGAAGAAGGACGGAGCGTACAACGGCCGAAACGTTGTAAAAAATATGGCGACAAAGATGACGACAATAGTCCGAATAATGTAAATAGTTTACATAATACCTCATCTCAGAAATATTGACAGATACTGAAGGGCCGAAACGTTGCAATAAATATGGCGACAAAGATGAGGACAATAGTCCGAATAATGTAAATAGTTTACATAATATCTCATCTCAGAAATATAGACAGATACTGAAGTAAATTCGTTGCTCATTGTGATTTATGACACAACTGTCACACAACTACTAATCTATGTAATACACGTCATTTACACTCACCCTATTTTCCTAATATTTGTTGTTAACATCAGAACTTTTGTCCATTTTATACCCCGGCCATCACTAGATGTCTTGTCAATTCGGGTCATCTTCTGGGAATTTCTAACTGGAATTTGTATTTAAATTAAAAAGTTATCAATGCAACTTTACTTTGCTGTGAACTCTCTGAAACGTTATGCATTCCTAATTTAAAGTTAGTTTCTCACGATACATTGAATGCAAGTCCGATTCCGTCAGAAAAGCATATTTGAACCTTTTAGCGTCCGGACATAGGGGCACGTGATCATTTTAATGTCATAGCTGGAGTGAGTGAGGAGTAATGGATAGCGACTAGGTTTGAGGAATCGGAGAGCCGAGTTCAAATTTCATTCGACTTCATTACATTCACTTACATTATGGAAAAAGGTATGGATCAATCCCTTCTTCGCTAGCTATAATTAAATAGCAGGGCTGGGTGACAACCTGTCTCGGGGAACGAAAAAACTCTGAATTCAAAATCAAAATCAAAAAAGAATTCAAAAGCGTTGGGCTTCATCAGGCTATCCTACCCAGGAAACACCACTTTGGCTACGGCTGGGGTACTTGTGGTACCCCTACAAACCTAATGGTTTAAGGGTTTTAAAAATATGATGCATTGTATTTTTACACGACTTAAGCACACATTGTATTTTAGTCTTTTCCAGGTATATTATGATTAGAAATAAAATAATGACAAGTATCCAAAAATATGTTTTAAAATATATTCCACTAATGGGATAATGGACACTAATAAGTTAATAAGACTTTCAATTTCGCAGGCCAGTGCATATCGATTTCCCTGTGTAAAAGCAAACAAACAGGAATATCTGTCAATCACGTGCACCCATTAAATATAGCATTCATAATAGTAGGTATATACGTAATTTTTTTAAAAAAAACTGTAAATGCTACTTGATGTAGAATCCAGTTTTTAAAAATTAAACTTGTTGGCCATAGTTACTGAACTTGACAAAAAGCTCCGAATGAAGACAGTTGATGCGTATAAAGAAGGTGATAGGTATACATATACAATACTTTCCAAATGTTTAAATGTTCCTACATCGACAATTCGTAGCATTATCAAGAAATGCAAAGAAAAGTATTGTGTTGAGAATAAATAAAGGACTAGCAGAAAACGTTTATTTTCTAAAAGAATGGAAAGAAAAATTGTTAGAGATGTTTCGAAGAATCCTCGCTTAAAGACAAATGACATTGTCACTGACGTGAAGACGTTAGGGTTAAATGTATCGATGAAAACAGACCCGAGATGCATTTAGCGAGCAGGACTTTGAGATTGTCGCCCAAGGAAACTCCCTTGCTTAAGGCTAAACACATAAAATGCAGATGAACATATGCTAGAAACCATCTAGAACATGGGAGTAAATATTGGATATCTATTTTATGGTCAGATGAAACCAAGCTAGAATTATTTGGTCTCATGAACCCCCGTTATGTATAGAGGAAAGTGAATGAAGCTCAAAAACCCAAAATTACCCTTACTATAATTAAGCACGGTGGTTGGAATATTTTCCTCTGGGGATGTTTTGCCGCTTCTCGACCAGGACAACTAGTGAGAGTACAGGGTACCATGTTGTTGTGTACGATACACCTAATTTACATAAGTGGAGTACCGACCATATAAATATGGGTTGGTACCGGAAGACCAGAGAGTAAGATAGTAGTTAGAAGAAGATCGAATCGAGAGACTCTGCCCGACTGCGATTTAGTCAACCCATTCTGCAGGAACAGTCTTCCCAAGAATATACCAAAACTAACTGTAAATATTGTGTACCTTTTCCTTGTTTCAATACATTTTGTTTACGTACATTTTGTGTTGTATTATTATTATTCCATGCTTATCCAAGCTTCAACACATGTAAAACTTTATTTGGGTATTCTTTAAAATAATATAAAACAAATTGCACGAAAAATGTCTTTATGGATGTTCCAACATGACACTGATCCAAAACACACTTCACGAATTGTTACAAAATACTTAGATGACAGCAAAATTAAGGTATTGGCGTACCCCGCACAAAGACCTGGACTAAACTCCAGTGAAAATTTATGGGCATATTTGAAGAAAAAATAAGAGAAAGAAATCCGACAAACTTAGAGGAACTAGAAGCTATTTTCAAGAGAGAATGGAGCAAATAGTTATTAGTGTATGCTGTGATATTGTAAAGAACTATAAAAAATGATTAATGGCAATAATCATGGTTAAATATTACAAAAGTGAAGACTGACAATAATTTTGTCTAATGTTTAAAAGATTTTGTATCATTGTTTGACATTAAAATAAAAGTTTTGTTGAGGGCATCACTGCAGATTTTTTTTAAATCCATTACTTTACGATTTGTGAAAAAAATGCACATGATGTATTTATAAAAATTTGAGGTATTACAGCTTTATTTGGAATGATAAAAGCGATTGGCTGAATAATTCTACAGAACTGTACATATATATATATATATATATATATATATATATATATATATATATATATATATATATATATATATATATATATATATGTGAAAAGTGTATATAAATAAAATAAATATATATATGTATAATTATTTATATATTATATGCGCGGTACTTATGAGAAAGCGCTCAATATCAGAGATAGAGCTAACATATTTGGTTGGATAGATGTGAGTTTGTGAACCTGGGTTTCACGCTATCACCATATAAATTAAACAATAAGGATTACAAATTTCTACCTGTTACATATACACAGTCACCAAAAACAAACAAATAACCAGCTTTAAATATAACAAATAAACCCCCATTGTTTTCAAAAATTTTAAAATAAATATAAATAATAATAATAATAATTTTTACCTATCATAATTTTACACAAACCCCACACACGTATATACATACATGCGAGGAAATATTTTTAAGCGAAAAAAAAATATATATATATATACATAATATGACATGTATACAGTCACGAAACACTAACGTGACATTTCCGCCACACTTCCAATGTTTAAATTTCAACATTTCAACATACAAATGCGTATGTATAGACATAACACCACCCGTATGCATACATGTGTCATAGCCGAAACTGTCCACATACGTTTATATATGTATGAGTCCCGACGGACGACCAAGTATGTATATGTGTCTGCATATATCGATGTTTGCGTTAGTACGATGAATGACAAAACGACGAAATTTCCCCCACCATTTCCACAATAACACCAATACACGCAATCTACATAAACCCAAATTTTTTAAAACATTAATCAGTTTTTCTGACGATCGCTAAAGCGTGAAACCCAGGGTCACAAACTCACATCTATCCAACAAATATATATATATATATATATATATATATATATATATATATATTCTGTTTTCTTTTTGAATTTGTAAGTCTCATGAATTGGATCGTATTTACGATTTCAATGGAATAAATTATGACCATGGAATATTAGTGTTTAAGCC